CCCTCTCCATTCCTTCCCCCGCAGTTTCGATTTTATTTTTGGAGCATCAGTCTGTCTCCTCCTCTCTCTCTCTCTCTTTATTATTTTTGTTTTCTCCTCCTTTTTTTTTTTTTTTTTTGGGGGGGGGCTCGGTTTCATTTCGGGGGGAGGCGGGGGGGAAGGGAGGGGAGGTGTTTTTTGTGCGTCATTGTTTACAGAAATTTTTTGCGCCATTCAGAGTGGTCCTGTCTACCTACAACTAAAATAAAAGAGGAAAGGGGGGGGGGAGATCGTCAGAATTAAAAAAAAAAAATAAATAAAGAATAAAACCCCCCCGCTGCTCCTGTGATTTTGTGAGGAACGGGGGTGCGGCCGCCGAGCGGGGCGCCCCAGAACGGGGAGATTCATCGCTCCCCTCCGAGCGCGATTTGCGGCCCCGACAACTACTAACGGGGCCGTTTTTCCACCTCGTTGTGATTGTCGCTGCCGTGAGCCGCAGCCGGGGCGGTCGGTTCGCTTTCTCCCATTTGGGGCTTGTCTCAACTGTTCCCGAGCAGAGGAAAGAGACCCGCGGACGGCGGAGCCCTCCCCGCCCGCAGAGCGGCTCGTTGTGCGGCACCCCGGGCTCTCCGCGGTTTAATACCGATTGGAATTTTTTTTTTTTTTTCTAAAAAGCTGTGTTTCAAGAAAAAAAAAATGATGGAGAAGGAAACGATAACAACGACGGAACGGTTTTGTTCGAATTCTCGTTGCGGCCGCCGCCTCCTCCCTGCATCGCCCGGCTCAGCCCTGCGCGGGGCCAGCCGGGCCCCCACGGGAGACACGGCCGAGCAGGGCCCCACGCAGACCCCTCCACCAGCCCAACTTCTCTCTTTTTTTCTTTCTTTTTTTTTTTTTTTTTTCCCCTTGGGAGAGCGGCTTTTTTTGGGGGGTCAGTCGGCTTTAGCCCGCTGGCGAAAAAACGGGAGTGGGAAGAATTTCTATTTTCACATTTTCTGTCCGTGATTGTGCCTTTCTACACGCCAGTGCCACCCCCGGTGCTGCTGAGGTTTGGGTACCAGCATCACTCGGCGGCCCTTCCCCGGGCTGAGGGCCCTGCGAACGGGAAGGAGCGTGGAAACTTTGGGGTCAGCCCTCGGGGATGCGCCGGCGGCCCGGGCAGGGCGGGGGAAAGGGTTAACAACGGGAGAACCCCCCAAAAAAATCGGAGGAGGGGAGAGGAGAGAGGCGAGGCGGGGCTGGGCAGCTCGGCCGGGATGTAACTGGGACCGGGCAGGCGCAGCCCCGGCTGGGAGCGGGTTGGGGCAGAGCATTGGCTTCCCCCGCCCTCCCCTGCGGCTTTTAGGCTGGTAAAGATGCTTTAAAAAAGCGAAAACAAAACCAAACAAGCTTTTGTCCGGAGTCCTGGGGCCGGGGCAGCGCCCGTCCCGTCCCGCGGGGCTGAGCCCGGCCAGGACGGGGCAGTTCAACGCCAGAGAGGCGATCGGTACCGGCTCACGGCATCCCGGTCCTGCCAAATCCCGGCCCGCAGCATCCCGGCCTCGCAGCACTCCCGATCCTGCAACATCCCGGCCATCCAACCCCCCCGGCCCCGCCGTGCCCTCTCTGCCCCGGCGCAGCCTCCACCGGCCACGGATCCCCCCCCCCCAGCAGCCTTCGCGCTGGGCTCGGGTTTTTGTCCTTTTCCTCATTTTTTTTTTCTCCCCCTCTTTTCTCGTCCCTCCTTCTCCCGTCTCCCGTCCCCGGCCCACCGAGGCTCCGCGCACCGGCGGAGCAGCCGCGGCCCTTCCCCGGGGCAGCCGCTCCCCAGCCCGGGGGAGGCTCTGCCGGGGTCCCGGACCCGCGGGGGACACACGGACAAGTGCCGGTTTTCCCTTCTCCAACCAAGCCCAGCGCGCAAGCCAAGAGGGGAGAGAAGGAAAATTGTCACATTTTGTTTCTTCCTTATATTTTTTCATTTTTGATATTTTTTCCCATTCGTTGTTTTTCTTTCTTTCCTCCCCCCCCCCACCACTTTTCTTCTTCCTTTTTTTTTTTTTCTTTTTTTTCCCTTCCCTTTCCCCTCGGGCTCTTGCTGAGTCTATCAAACCAGTTGTGTGGCCCTAACCTCCGTGGCCTTATATCTCCCATGCTGCCGGGCCAGTCTATCTTTGCACAATATACAGTAGACTTCAGAGAGCAGCACAATGGGGGAGGCAGGGAGGTGAGCATGTTAGAGGCGTGCATATTAACGAGCCGGAGCCAAAGGAGCCAAAGGAGCCGGGGAAAAACGGGAGAGACGGTACGGGAGGGGGGGGGGACGCCCTCCCTGTGCCTTCCCTCCCTTCGCCTTCCCCCCACGCCTGTTTTGGGGGCACGGCATTGATGCGGAGCGCGGAGTCAGGGAGCAGTGTCCTCCGCGTTTTGTTCGGGCTGTCACTCGCGCTCATTGTTCGGCATGTTCTACATGTTGTATCCCATATGGCCAGCTGGGCCGGGGACCCCTCACAAAACCCAAATTGTGCCCAGCTTTCAAACCCAGCATTGTTGTCTGTGAAAGGGAGGCGAATTAAAAATTCGTGCTATATCTATTCTGGAAAAAAAAAAAAAAAGAAGAAGAAGAAGAAAGGGGGGGGGCGCAAGGAGAAAGAATCCCGCTCTCTTCCCTCCCTCTCTCCTCTCTTTGAAGGCCAACAGAGACTCTCCTCTTCTCCCGGTCCCCGCTGACAAGTTTCTTTCTCATTTCACAGGAAATTAGCCCGCCCCCCCCCCTTCCCCCGACACCGGGCGCATCCCCCCGCGGGAGCCCGCGGAGCTGCGCTGCGCGGCCGCGCTGCTGCGCGGGGGCCGGGGCAGAACAAGGCGGCATTGAGGGAGGGCCGGGCTGCAGCTGCCGCCTCCCTGCGCGGCCCGGCCGTACCGGCTGGCACGTCCCGCTGCCCCCCGGAGAAACGGCCCTTTCTTGTCCGAGCTCCTGGTTGTGCAAGGCGGGCCGGCCGAGGGAGGGAGAGAGGGAGAGGGAGGGAAGGAGGAAGAGAGAGGGAGGGTGAAATTAAAAAGGAAAAAAGGAGGAGAATAAAGGGAAGAAAAAAAAAAGAAAAAGAAAAATTAAAAGGAAAAAAATTACCTGAAAGGAGAAAAAAAAATAAAAAGGAAGAGGGTGGAAAAAGGAGGGAAAAAATAAAATAAAATTAAAAAAAAAACGGGGGGGGAAAAGAAAAAAAAAAGTAAAAGGAAAAAGAAAAGAGGAAAGAGGAAAAAGCAAGGAGAAGAGGAAAAAGAAAACAAAAAAATGAAAGACAGAGAAGAAAAAGGAAAGAGAAAGAAGAAAAAGGAAGGAGAAAGAAAAAAGAAAGAAAAAGGAAGGAGAAAAAAGGAAAATGAAAAAAAAAAGACAGAGAATGAAAAAAAAGAAAAAAAGAAATAACGAAAAAGAGAAGAAGGAAAAAAAAACGAAAAGAAAAGAGGAAAACGAAAATGAAAAGAAAAAATAAGGGGGCATTCCAAAAGGGAAAAAACGAAGGAAGAAAAAAGAAAATATAAAATTAAAAAAAAAAAAAGAAGAAGAAGAGGGAAAAAAAAGGGAAGATAACGGAGGAAAAGGGAAAATAGGGGGCAAAAAAGAAGACAAGGGAGGAGGATCCCCCCCCAGCTCCGCCACCCTCAGCGTTTCCCGCACCCCTGGCAGAGGGGGATCCTGGCGATGCCCCGGGGCTGAGCGGGCCCGCGGCGCAGGGATGAGCCTTCACCTGAGGGGGGTCCGTCCATCGGCCCCCCTCGACACCCCCTGCGAACCCCCTGACCCCCGGTGGGCCCTTCTCCTCCTCCAGGGCCGCCCGTCGGGACGGGGATGGCGATTCGGGGCACAGGCGGCCGGGGAGCAGCTCAGCCCAGCCCGGGCTCCAGGCCCCGCCGCCTTTCCTTTCCTCCCCCCCAGTGTTCCCGGTTTTCTCCTCCCGCCGCCCCTGCAGGGCCGGAACTGCGGGGCGCCCCGACAGCCCGGTGATGGGCGGGAAGGCCCTTAAGCCCGGCAATAACTTCCTCTCGTCACCTATTGACTGTTGGGCTTAGCCGCGGACCGGTGTGGATTTTTCGGGGCCGTTCAAGGAGCCGGTCAATGGGAAGCTAAGCCAATATTTACCGACTACGAGGGCAATTCTCGGCGGTGTTTATTAAGGAGCCGGGGGGGAGGGCGAAAGGGCTGCGGGGTGTGGGGGGACGGCCGGGGGGACCGCCCCCGCGACGGGGCTGGAGCGGCGAGACGCGACCCCCGGGCCGTATTTCGGGGTGTTTGCGCTTGTGGCCGCGGGAGCGCGTTGCTCCCCCGCGTTACCCCCGCGAACATCACCCCCGTCCCCGCCCCGGTCTCCCCGAAAAGGCACCGCTCGAGGGGTTTCTCGCTTTGAAGGGAGGGCTGCGGTTTGTTTTTTTTGCCGGGTTTTCCATGCCCCCCGTGCCCGCGGGGAGGCAGCAGAGCCCCGCGCAGCCCGGCGGAGGACGGGGCGGAGGCTCCGCTGCCCCTCCGCGCCCCCCGGGGACCGGCGAGGGGGGGAACCCCGGGGGAGCCGAGGCGGTGGGCGGTGGGTACCGACCCCCGGCGTCGCCCCCCTCCCGCCGGGATGGCCGCGCGGCGGCGCTGCTGGATAAGGGACGCGCCGTCGGGAATCGTCCCCCCCGTCCCCCGGCTCACCCTCGCACCCGCCCGGTGACACGGACGGGAGGGATGGGCCGGGGGGCGGCGGACAGCCCCCCGCCTCACCCCGCCGCGGGAGGAGCGGCGTTAGCCCCGCACCGACGGGGCCCGAGGCGCCGCTTCGAAACACGGCCCCGAGCTCACGGCGCGGAGATGTCTGTCCCCCAAGCCTCGTGTGGGGCACGGCACCGCGGGACAGGGACTCCTGCTGCCCGCGCTGGTGGCACTGCCACCCCTCCTGCCCCCAGCAGCCCCCCCCAGCCCCTCGGAACCCATCTGGTGGGCAAGCAGTGCACCTCCCGTCCCTGGCGGGGTTTGGGGATGAGCGGTCA